GTCTTCGCTGGGGTTTCATGTAAATGAAATTGTATAGTACGTACTCTTTTGTGTCTGAGTTCTTGCACTTAGCACAGTGTTTTGTGGTTCATCCATTTTGTGTGCATCTATAACTTGTTCTTTTTATTTCTGAGTTGAATTCCATTTTATATTCCATATATATTCCATTCCATAATATAGTATATGAATGTATTATAATTTGTTTAGCCATTCACCCGTTGATGGATATTTAGGTTAGTTGGAGTTTTAAGCTAAAATGAGCAAATATATCATGACCATTCATTTGCAAGTCTTTCTGTAAACATTTCTTTTTATTTCTTATGGGTAAAAAATACCTAGGAGTGGAATTAGTGGATCACGTGGTACTTTACAAAAAAGTACCAAACCCTTTCCAAAGTTGTACCATTTTGCATGCCCACTAGTAATTGAATAGTTTCAGTTGCTCCACTTTCCTGCCCACATTTGGTATAGTCAGCCTTTTTAATATTAGTCATTCTAATAGTTGTGTAATTGTGTCTTATTGTGGTTTTAATATGTATTTCCCTGATGTCTAACAATATTGAGCACATGCTTATTGTATACTTTTTCTGATAGTGTTTATTTGTCCTTTGCTCATTAAAAAAATTGGATTGGTTTTCTCGTTATTATAGAGTTCTAAGAGTTCTTTTTATATTCTAGCAAAATTGAGAGATAAATGTGTCGTAGATATTTTCTCCCAGCCTGCCTTTTCATTTTTTTGGGTGTCTTTTGATGTTCAGAAGTTTTTAATTTTGAAGAAGTCCAACTTAGCAATTATTTTTTTTTATTGGTTTGTGCTTTTGGGTCCTAGATGTAAGAAATCTTTGTCTACCCAGAAGTCACAGATACTTTACTGTGTTTTCTTTTAGAAGTTTTATAGTTTTGACTTTTACACTTTGAGATTTTTTTTTTTAATTTGAAGTCAGTTTTTTTGCAAAGGGATATCAAGATATTACAGTGGTATTTCTTAAAAAGGCAGTCCATTCTCCATTGAATTTCTTAGACAGCTTTGTTGAAAGTCAATTATCCGTACATTTGTGGATCTGTTCCTGGTCTCTATTTTGTTCTGTTAATAAATATGCTAATAATCTTGGTTATTGTAGCCTTTTAGTTAGTTTTGAAATCAGGTAGTGGGAATCACCTAACTTTGTCCTCTTCTTTTAAAATATTTTTGGTGGTGTCAGCCTTGATTTCCACACAGATATTGTCAGTTTCTACAAAAAACTTTCTGTGATTTTGATTGTGTTTACATTGTATCTCTAGAGGTCAGTTTGGGAAGAATTATACATCAGTTACTTTTGGTCTTCTGATCTATAAATGTTTTTATTTAGGTTTTCTTTCCCTTAGCAGTGTTTGTTATCTTCCTAATGTAAAAGATACTTAAGGAAATTATATTTCCAATTGTTGCTAACATATAGAAATAGAGTTGATTTTTGAATTTTGATCCTTAGTTTTATGACCTTGCTTGTCAGCTCTAGCAGCCTTTTTTGGTAGGTTTCTTAGGATTTTGTAAATAAAGACAGTTTTACTTCTTCCTTTCTAATCTGTATGCCTTTAGTTTTTTTCTCTTACCCAATATTTTGCAAGTACCAGGACTAGCACAGTGTTGAGTAGAGTCGATGAGAGCAGTGATTCTTGTATTGCTCCCAGTTTTATGGGAAAAAGCATTGCCTTTCACCATTACACATGATATGATTAGTAGGTTTATTGTAGATTGATTTGATCATGTTGAGTATGTCCCTTCTATTTGTCCTATTCCCTGTTCCCATGCTGAGAGTGTTTTTCTCCTTATGAATTAGTGTTTACTTTTGTCAAATGCTTTTTCTATATATAATGAGATAATTATGTAAGTAATCTTTTTCATTCTGTTAATATGATAAAATATAATGATTGATTTTTGCAGTGTCAAACCTGCTTTTCTTTGCTAGGATGAACTCCACTTGGTCATGATTTTTTTTAATATACTGCTGGATTAGGTTTGCTACTAATTTATTAAAGGTATTTAAATCTTTGTTCATGAAAAGATTCATGCACAGTTTTCTTATGTCTTTGGTTGTAGTATCTGGGTAATAATATTGCCCTTTACAATGAGTCCTTTCCCTCAGTTTTCTGAAATAATTTGTGAAGGATTGGTGCTATTTCTTCCCTAGATGTTTGGTAAAATTCATCAGGAAAGCCATCTGGGCCTAGCATTTTAGTTGTTTTAGGGTTTTGTTTTGTTTTTTGGTAAGAAGATTTCAGATTGTGAATTCAGCATCTTTAATAGATGTACAGCTATTCAGGTTTTATATTTCTTCCTTTGTCAATTTTTGGGAAATTTTATTTCAAGGAATTTAACTGAAATTATTGAATTTATTATGATAAAATTGTTCTTAATATTCCCTTGTTGTTATAATATTTGCAGGATCTGTAGTCCCCTCTTTCATTCTTTTTTCAAAAATTTTATTTTATTGAGTTAGTCAGTTTACAATGTTGTGTCAATTTCCAGTGTAGAGCACAATTTTTCAGTTATACATGAACATACATGTATTCATTGTCACCTTCTTTTTTCACTGTGAGCTACCACAAGATCTTGTATACATTTCCCTGTGCTATACAGTATAATCTTGTTTATCTATTCTATATATACCTGTCAGTATCTACAGCTTTCAAACCCCCAGTCTGTCCCTTCCAACCCTCCTCCCCTCTGGCAACCACAAATTTGTATTTCATGTCTGTGAGTCTGTTTCTGTTTTGTATTTATGTTCATTTGTCTTTTTCTTTTCTTTTTTTAAGATTCCACATATGAGCGATCTCATGGTATTTTTCTTTCTCTTTCTGGCTTACTTCACTTAGAATTACATTCTCCAGGGCCATCCATGTTTTTGCAAATGGCATTATGTTGTTGTTTTTATGGCTGAATAGTATTCCATTGTAAAATATACCACCTCTTCTTTATCCAGTCATCTGTTGATGGACATTTAGGCTGTTTCCATGTCTTGGCTATTGTAAATAGTGCTGCTGTGAACATTGGGGTGCAGGTGTATTTTTGAAGTAGGGTTCCTTCTGAATATATGCCCAGGAGCTGGATTCCTGGGTCATATGATAAGTCTATTCCTAGTCTTTGGAGGAATCTCCATACTGTTTTCCACAGTGGCTGCACCAAACTGCATTCCCACCAGCAGTGTAGGAGGGTTCCCTTTTCTCCACAGCCTCTCCAGCATTTGTCATTTGTAGACTTTTGATTGATGACCATTCTGACTGGTATGAGGTGATACCTCTTTGTCCCTCTTTCATTCTTGATAATGGTAATTTGTGTTTTCTCTCCAAATACTTTTGATTACTCTATATGATTATGAATTTTATTAATGTCTTCAAAAATAGCTTTTGGATTTATTGATGTCTTTATATTTTTTGTATTTTATTTCATTGGTTTTTATTCCTACATCTCTTTAATGTGTGTTCACTTTGCTCTTTTACTGATGCTTCAGGTAGAAGCTTAAACCATTGATTGAGACCTTTTCTGACGTGGCATTTAAAGCTATACATTTCCTTCTAAGCACTAATGTAGCTGCAACCCCCAAATTTTGATATTTTGCTTTCGTTTTCATTCAGTTCAAATCAAATTTAAGTGTTTTGTTTAGTTTACAAATATTTGGGAATTTTCCTGCTGTCTGTCTTGTCTGCTTCCTGGCTTAATTTTGTGTGGTTTTAGACAGTAACAGATGAAAGTGATGGGGCTGGTTCATTTGAGGTGGAGGCTGGTGGAAATGCGGGAAGGGGCTGGATTGCTCCCTGCGTGTGGAAGCTTTCTGACTTCCATTTATGACTTGCAGAGGCTCTGAGGTACCTCCAGGGTTTTTATAGTACATACTCTGAAACTACTGCCATAGTTTGTGGAGTAAATTTGGTTAGGTGAAAATGATGCTCAGGTGAGCAAAGTACTTGGAGGAAAGCAACTAGTGCATTGTTTAGTGGTTGTTTCAGAGTCAGAACTTAAAGAGATTTCCTGTGTAAGTCAAATGCCCAAATGAGACCTTAATGGAAACATACGTTATGCAGTATAGTTTGAACATGAGCACTAAGATGGAAAAAAACAAGTTTATCTAGTCCAGATGAAAATATTTGGACTTACACATTTTTCAGGAATATGTAATTTCATTGTTTCTTAAGAGATTAAGATTTTTACATAAATGGTATTATTTTACTATTTTCCTTCATGTACTTTTCACCTTTGAGGATGAAGCATTATAAAGGAGATAGTTTCTTTAAATAAGATAAAATTATTCAGATCTTTAACAAAATTCTTAGAACTAAATAAAGTGATAAAGTCAGTGCCTGTTGTTATATTTGTAAATATCTTAAGTGGTCATAGAGGTGGTTCCTGAAAACTGCCTAAATGCCTTCTCATCATGTTAGAAGTAGGGATCAGAAAACTTTGGCCCATGAGCCAAGGATGGTTTTTACTTTTAAAGAGTTAAAAGAAAAAAAAAAACCCAAGAAGAATCTGTGTCAGAGGCTTTGTGGTCCACAAAGCCTTACTTACTTGGCCTTTTACAGAAGTTTGCTGGTTCCTGACTTAGAGTAAGGAGCAATTCATATCGAAAAAGGATTTGTTTCATCCTTTCAGATGTCTTCAAAAAGGAGAAGATGATAATAATGACTGATAACATGGCTTCTTCCTGTCCTTTCTTATTTCATCCAAGCTAGCATCTGGTTTCAGAGCTACCCTTGTTTATTGAAGTGGGGGAATTTGGCATCGATCTCTATTTGAAAACCACCATGATGTAAAGAATATTGTTAATGGACACATTGTCCACTTATTTCTCAAGAATAGTATTATTTAGAGTAATAAGCATCATTTGAGATTTGGTTTTGTACTATATATAGGTCACCTGTTAGTTTTAATATATAGCTTAATTTTTAAAGGTTCTTCAGACCACTTAAATTTTGAATTGTGTATATACGAATTAATTTTATGTTGACCTATGTATTTTTTGCAGGATGATTGTCTTTTGAAAGTATGGTATCCTATGACTGGTTGGAAGTCTTCAATTATACCTCAGGATCATCATGAAGTGAAAAGGAGACAGGCTTCTACCCAGTTTTCCTTTGTTTATCTGGCACATCCCCGGGCTGTGACGGGTTTTTCATGGCGTAAAACTAGCAAGTATATGCCCAGGTTAGACAACTGTGTCAATGTAACTTCAGTTGGTATACTTATATGTTTATAAAAATAATGAAAACAAAGGTTCTTTTAATTGACATGGTGGCAGTTTAGAGCACAGGTTCTAGGTGTCAGTTGCCTGAATTCAAATCCTGCTGTTGTTCAGATGTAGAAAATAAACTATGGTTACCAATGGGGAAAAGACAGGGGAGGGATAAATTAGGAGTTTGAGATGAGCAGATACAAACTACTATATATAAAATAGATAAAAAACAAGGACCTAATGTATAGCACAGGGAACTATATTCAATTTCTTATTTAATAATATATAATGGAAAAGAATCTGAAAAGAAAAAACATATGTATAACTGAATTGCTTTGCTATACATCTGAAACTAACATAAATAAATCAACTACACTTCAATAAAAAATAAAATTAAAAACAAAAGACAAATTCTGCTGTTACAAGCTTTGTGAGCATTTTAAAAATTAAAAAATTTATTCATGTATTTAAGTATATTTTGAGCTCTTTTCATATTTTGAGCACTGAGGATATGGCAGCAAACAAGATAAATAGATCTTTTGTTCTCATGCAGTTTTTATGCTAGGGATAGATGCTAACAGGTGTCTTTTTTTTTTTTCGGTGTGTGAACTTTTGATTACATTTCTTAAGCTCTCTATGCCTCTGTAGAATGAGGTAATACCAGCATGTACCTCAGAGAGACATATGAGACTGAAGTGTGTGGGTACGTGTGAATGCTTATACGGGCCTTTGCGTATCCCAGGCAGTGTTAGCTGGTGTTGTCAGTCGTAGCAGCAGCAGTAGATTCTAGGAAGGAAGCGTTTCTAAGGAACAGGAAAGCACACATTGAGGGAAAATAAACCATAGCAATAAACTGTCAGGAATACATATGGTGGGAAAGCGTATCAGATACAGTGAATGAAGTAGCCAGATTTTTCTTATCGGGGCTATCAACAGAAACTTCTCAGAGAATTTATTACTGTAAGTTTTTCCTCATTGTTGTAGCGTCTCTGAAAAGTGTTCAGAAGATTAAGCAAACTACAAAGCAGGCCATACAGATGGTTCCGGTATTACATATACAGTTCTAAAAATGCTTCTTGGAACTCTATTCATTCTTGATGGAGGATTACTTCATCTGTTAAATGTATCTGAGCACTGTTTACACCTAATGGGAAATACAGCGCACATTATAGAGGTGCTCGGTAAATAACTTGGGGAATTCATCCATTTTTGGAATCTAAAAGATTACTGTAACAATCTGCTTATTTGCATCTATTGAAAACATTTGCAAAATACTACCTGTGAGTCAGGCTCTATGTAAGTATTTTTTAATGGGAGATTTTTCCATAGTTAGCAGTTAAATCACTTCAGCTGCTTGATGCTGTGATATTTTTACTTAATGGAGATTGATTTACAGTTTGAAGTTATATTCTCCATACAGTTTTATTATGAATATGCTCACTTGTTTACCTATTTGTAACTATTTATAAGGAGGATCAAGCAAAATGCTGCAGCTCTTGCCATAAGCCACCTAGTTTAATTACATTTAATGATCTTTTATTATGGTCGTTCTGCACTTTGCAATGACTAGGTTTTCTTTAGCTGTTTAGTTTGTTTTGTTTAAAAGATACCAATCCTCCAGAGGCTTGTTCTCAAGCAGCACATGTGTAATCTGGCATTAATTTCTGTTTCCTTTGTCAGGACTGTTTCCTAGTTTTTGTGATGTCCACAGCAGTACTGTGTGTGCTTTCAGGCTCTTTGATGGACCACTCTTTCTCCACAGCGTAATTTCTAAAGCAGTTGGAAGCATACTCTACTGTCATTTAGTTTAGCTGTTCAAGGCATAATTCTAATGAATTAAAGTGAGTGTTAAGGGACTGTTAAGCTGTTCTTATTTTATGGTAATTGATTGCACCCTGTATCCAGCCTGCTACCTTGCAGGTCTGAGCAGGTAATAAATGGGGGTTGGTGAGAGTGAAATAATCAGTGGAAATCCATTATCATTATTGGAAAATTAACTACACATAGATCATACTGTTAGTTTTGCACTAATGTAACCTTTATGCATGAAGAACTAAGCATTAGTAGCCTTTAATTAATTGATAGCATTGATCCTCATAGTAACTTACTTTTGTTTGTTTCTCTTTGTTGTTAGAGGGTCTGTCTGTAACGTGTTACTGACTTCATGCCATGATGGTGTCTGCCGGCTCTGGGCAGAAACCTTATTACCGGAAGACTGTCTTCTGGGTGAGCAGATTTGTGAGACTACCACTTCCAGCGTTGCCAGCAATCTTGCTCATGCTGGAAGGCACAAAGACAGAATACAGCACGCTCTTGAGGTACTGTTATTTAAAATGGTAGACGAATTTTGAAGATAGTGTGAATCTGGTGGGAATTCGTAAGCTAAGGTGCAGATAGTGCACATGTGCACATGGTACACATAACAATGAAATTAATAGCAAAGAATTCTTGCTTATTTGATGCCACGTAGAAGCCATATACAGATAGTAATGATTTCAGATTTGTAGTCTAGGAAAATAATATAAATTATTTCTTTCGTTTTGCATGTCAAATATGAAAATCTCTAGGAGAGTAAGCATCTTTGATTAGTAAAACATGTAAAAGTTCTTGAAATTGGTAATTAAAAATATTTTGTTTTTCAATTAAAAAAATTTGCTTTTGTTTCATGAGGATTAAATTTTATTTTTGTTTTACTTAAAATGACAATCAAATGATCCTTAGGGATAAAGATATTGTTAAGATAGTAAATGAACTTATTAAAATTAAAAATTTAACGCAATTATATGTTTTGAAAGTGAAATAATTTTTCCAACTTTTAAATACAAAATATATGAAATAAAAGTGCTTTCTAAGAAATCAGATTATTTATGATACAGTAGGAACTGTTGTGTCCATTATGATTAGGGAATAAAATGAGATAAAAACATTATTGAAAATTATCAGAGATTTATTATAATAAACGTAGGTTACTGATTTTCTTGATTTTTCATGTGACTTTTTATTACACGAAGAATGTGATTATTCTAAGTTAGTCTAGGAAAAAGAAAAAAATGTGAAATTTATAAACCAACTATTCTAGTGTGTGTGTGTATATGTTCTTTGCCTTTATTTGAATGATTGAGATCATTTTATACAGTGATGTTTTATAACTGGTTTTTTATACTTGATGTGTTACAAACATCTCTCTACATTACTAATTATACTCTTACTTTGTACATTTACATTGACACTTTAATGATTGTATAGCTAAAAATGGCTTTGCAGTTTTAGCAAGCAGAAATATTTTTGGGTTTGTGATAGGCCAAGGGTGTGGTCCTTAAAGGTTTCATATAAAGTAGTTCTGCTCTGATACTGCCTGTGACTGGGCATTATTTATAAAGTTTTTCAACATTTAAAGCATACATGAAATTAAAAAAAGAAGTCAGAACAGTTAAAGTTATATTTTGTTTTGCTATTGATTGAAATTTAGTGGGATAAAGTATTTAATTTACTAGATGTTTCTAATTATTTGTATATACTTGTGTAACATATTTTACCTTTAAATTACATGAGTTTTTGGAGACTAAGGGCTTTTAGATGTCTTTTTATCCTCCATGTTACCTAATAAGTTGCTTTTCAAGTATTTGTTAAATTGAATTACTAACTGCTACATAAAATAAAAGCCAAAATGTAACCAAACATGTAATCAGTGATTTGATACATTTTGCTACTTTTAATAATGTTATTAATAATGTTAAAATTGCTTTTAATAGAAAAATCCTAATTATCTGACTTACGAACTATTTTTCTTTCTAATGTCCTTTCCTACAAAACTCCTAACTATAAGGTCTGTATAATTCTGTATGTGCTTAAGTTATACACTTTGTTCCTAGAGAAAATAACCAGCCAATATTATACCAGCCTTGCTAAACTAATTAAAAATAATGATTAATGTCAAAGATGGAGTGAGAATAATTTGATACGTATAATCAGAGAAATAAGCAACTCCAGAGTAAGGAGACCAGAGGCAGTGGACACACTGTAGAGCTGATACTGTTTTCCACATGAAAAGGGATAAGGGCTGTGGAAATTGAAAGGAAGGACCAGATGTTTCACTTTAGTGCAGAAAGAACTGAGAGGATGCTACGTTTAACTAACTGAATGTGAAGAACAAAGGAAAAGAATGAGATATTATTATAAAGCATGGTTTTGGGGGTGGGTTAGGTGACAGAGTAAGGAAATGTGGTGAAGGTGGGGTTACAGTGTGCAGAAAAGGTCATGCTGAGAGTGACATGGCCCCATGTGCAGATAGTTCAGATGATGAGTATGCCAGTGCAGAATTTTTATCACAGAGACGTGTCTCAATTTAAGCAAATCCCATAGGTCAACACTTAAGTGAGGTTATTCCTGGCTGCTCTTATCTGAGTAGATACCCCTTGTCATTGTATATTTTTGCACTCTCTTTTTATCTTTATAATAGAGGTCATATATTAGATTATTTTAGTTTATTGTTTAGCTCTAGGTGAAAAATTTGGGGAGAAATACTACTCTTCCTGGTAGGAAGATATGGATTCCTTTTTTTTTTTTTATTTTAAGTTTTATGACTAGTAAGTTTCATCTCAGTTCTGGGATATCCTGAAAAAACTAGACTTTGGACTGCTAATTTTAGTGGGGGTTTCTGTAGATAATATTAATAAGTATTTTTGAGCAACTGCTGCCTTGAACTATAATTTACAAGACCAATGGAGAATATACTCAGAATTGTTCTATTGTAGTTAAAATTTCCTTTAAGATGGTCAGGTTTTACAGAGAGGAAACTTGTAGAATCCTTAGTAACTTAAAATTCTTTGATTGGCATTTATTAGACTTTCCAGACTTGGGAGTTAGTAATTATTTTTCTGTTTTAGACAATACACCATTTGAAAAATCTAAGAAAAGGACAAAGGAGGTCTTCTGTTCTTGTAACTCACGCTGAATTAACGCCTGACCAAATGGCAACGCATGAAGTTCAGAGACACATTTCCCACCACGCAAATGCTCTGTGTCATTTTCACATTGCAGCAAGCATCAATCCTGCCACAGGTAAAGGATAGTAGTTTTATTTCTTGTAAATATGCTGAAATAAGATAAGTAAATAGAAAAGTGGGACAACTTTTATACCCTGTTTTTAATTTTATGTCAGTACGCCATGTTTCCTTTTGAAATACTCCTTATTTGCAATAGGAATATAATATAGGGTACCTTTTCTTAAATCGAGAATATGATTCTCAGGGAATAACTTCAAATAAGTTTTTTCAGCAGCATTGTTTATCCAGAGTACAGCAAGATTTCTAAGTAAATTAGAGCTGAGAAGCTCTGATTTACTGAGAATGAATGAAACTGAGAACGAACACAAGTGGTGGCAGCCTGGTTAATTTGGGTGATTTTCCTCCTTTTTATATTTTCACCATTATTCTTTCTTCTCAGCTCTTCTTTATGACTTTAAGTGTATTTTTGCATGGTTGGTCTCATATTTCAGCATATCTTATTCTCTGCTTCCATAGACTTTCTTGTCCCACACCTAGGAAAAGATACTTTTTCTTACTAACTTTGATATTTTCTTTTTGCTCTTTTCTACCCATGTGGTTGAGAGGTATTTTGAGGTAGGTTCAGTGTTGGCAAAAGCATATTTGAAAGCTTTTATTTAAAGTCATTGTTTAAAAAAAACCATTGTTTTCTTTCTACATGAAAAACACTTGAGAAGGCCTGTAAGTTTTATATTACATTGCTGGTAGAACTATATTTATATGAAGTTATACTCATGTTTTTTTTTGAAATGGAAGTCTGTTGCTTCAGGGTGCAGAGGAATTTATTTTATTTTATTTGTTTTTTATTTTTTTTTAATTGAAATATAGTCAGTTTACAATGTGTCAGTTCCTGGTGTACAGCACAATTTTTCAGTCTTACATGAATATACATATATTCATTTTCTTATTTTTCGCCATGAGCTACTACTACAAGATATTGAATATCCTTCCCTGTGCTATGCAGTATAAGCTTATTCATCTGTTTTACACATACCAGACAGTACTGCAAATCTCGAACTCCCAGTTTATCCCTTCCCACACCCTTCTCCGAATTTTATTTTTCATGTTTATTTATAGAAAGATGATATTCAGTAAATACAATTCCAAAAGAGTGACCTTTCGATGCTTTCCCCCATTGAGCAGTGGCCCTGTCAGATATGTACTGTCCACTGTGGTAGCCACTAGCCACATACAGCTCTTTGAGCACTTGAAATGTGGTTAGTCCAAATTGAGATATCCTGTAAAATACACACTGGATTGCTGACACTTTGAAACAATAAAACAATGTAAGGTCTTTATGAATAATTTTATTTAATATTGATTACATCTGGAAATGATAATATTTTGCATTTATTGAGTCAAATAAAATATGTTGTTATAATTAAGTTTACCTGTTTCTTTTTCCCTCTTATAGTGTGGCTAGTAGAATAAAAATTATGTATTTGTCTTGCATTTGTAGTTTGCATTATATTTCTATTGAATAGCACTGTTCTAGCTGATTAAATGTTATTTTGATTGTATTAGTTTTCTGATCTAACATCTTAATTATATTCCAAGATTGTCTTTATAACATTACTTGTTTTCAAAATGGTGGTGATTTTAGATTTTTATTAACTTTTAACCTTTTTAAAGAACCTCATCTTGAGTTATTGACTGTGATGAAGACCTAACTTCAAACAAAATGTAGTTAGTAGTAGTATGCAGTAAACTCAATAAATGTTAGAAACCTTGGCTTTTTAACTGTATACTCTATCCTGATCAAATGGAATAGGATCACAGGACTGTCCTCTGTGGATATGCATTCTGACTGATCATTTGAGTCTGAGTACTGGTTATATTCTATAGCCATTGGGCCTTGTCTTTCAGCATGTTTAAAAACCTCACCATTTAACCACTTTTAACATCTTCATATTATTTAAAAATTTATCTTGTACAAATATTTAATATCATGGATTTGTAGGTATTATATGTAAATACGACATTTAGGTTGATCAGATTGATTGCCAAATGCAAATAATTTTGCAGGACTCTTCCCTTTTTTTTCAGGAAAGTTTTTGAATCCTGCAGTAAAGCCAAAGCTTTAGTACAGCGAATACCATATACCCTTTACCCAGATTCACCAGTTGTTAACCTCTTGTCATGTTTGTTCTTTTTCCTCTCTCTTCTGCTTATGTATATATTTCTTTACTCCTTCCTCCCCTATTTTTGGCTGAGCCGTTTGAAAGTAAAGTTGCTGCGAGCATTTTCCTTTACCCCCTTAATATTCTGTGACATTTCCTAAATATCTCAAAATGTGTCTTCTGATAAAAAGAGTATTTGCCTTTATAACCTCGGTACTGTTATTGCATGCAGGGAATGTAGAAAAAATAATTTCATCTAATATAGTTCATTTTAAAATATAGATTATTTTTATTTTTAAAATTTATTTTATTTTTTATTCTTCCATTAAGTTTATTTAAACATTTTTTTAAAATTGAGATATAGTCAGTTTACAATGTTGTGTCAATTTCTGGTGTACAGCTCAATTCTTCAGTCATACATGAATATATATATATTCATTTTCTCATTCTTTTTCACCACGAGCTACCACACGGTATTGAATGTATTTCCCTGTGCTATACAGTATAAACTTGCTTATCTATTTTATACATACCAGTCAGTATCTGCAAATCTCAAACTCCCAGTTTATCCCTTCCCACCCTCCTCCCCCCAGCAGCCACAAGTCTGTATTCTATGTCTGTGAGTCAGTTTCTGTTTTATATATAAGTTCATTTGTCTTTCTTTTTTTTTTTTTTTTTTTTAGATTCCACATATGAGTGATGTCTACGATGTTTTTCTTTCTCTTTCTAGCTTACTTCACTAAGAATGACATTCTCCAGGGCCATCCATGTTGCTGCAAATGGCGTTATTTTATCATAAAAATTTTTTTAAATTGAAGTGTAGTCAGTTACATGTTGAGTGGGGTGTACAGCACCATGTTTCGGTTACATATACATACATATATTTGTTTTCATATAGATTCTTATTAAAATGCATTTGTTATTTCTTTAAACTGCATTAATCGAAAATAGTCTCTTTGTCCCTCAGTTGTTAAAAAAAGGTCAGTCTCGAAAAGGTTATCTTGTGTTTATCTTGTAGGATGTCTTGCAGTCTGAATATCTGTCCATGATAAGATTTAGGTTAAACATTTTTAACAAGAATATTTCATAGGTATGTAAGGGATGTGTCTTACAAGATTGTTAATTTACAAATCCTATTTTATATGATTTGTTTTTTCTATCAGAAAACCAGGACTGTCATCCAGGAACTGGAGAGAGAACAACTTGAAGCTTTATTTAACATTGATACTTATTAGTAAAGCACTCCTAGAATATCCTATGCATTTCATCTTTAGATTTTCACTTCTTTTTGCAGAGGACTCATTTTTCCTTTCTATTGAATGTATTATTTATAATTTGATTTGGGATTAAGGAGGTGAATTTTTCAATTATACTGTTTTACATGAACTGGTCTATAGCATGCATTTCAGTTATCCCAAATGGAGAAAAAACACTATGAATTTGCGTGCCTTCCTATGTTCTTCCTTGAGATGATTTTCTCCCAACTTTTTAGGAAAATTTAAAACATTCATGAAAGTTGGATGAATGGTACAGTTAACACTCATTTCATTCACTTTGAGTCAACAGTTGCTAACATTTTGCCAGTTGCTTTATTCTCTCTGTATAGACACATATGTATATGTGTATATGAGTGAAATTTTTCCTTAATCTTTTCAAAGTAAGTTACACACATCATGGCACATCACCCTTACATACTTAATGAGTATCTCCTAAGAATAAAGAAATTCTCTTACGTAATCACAATATCATTATCATACCTAAGAAAATTAGAAATAATCTCATAATCTCTAATACTCAGTTCATATTTAAATTTCAGTTATCTCAAAAAATTTCTTCTATAGTTGCATTTCTGTTTTATATTTCTCTTCCCTCATCCCCAAACCAGGATTCAATAAAGGTTTGTGCATTTGGTGTATTTGGTTTTTAAATTAGTAATTTAATTCCATATAGGTCTGTGTCATTAGTTTTTGATATTTACATTTACCATTAAATTCAGTTAAAATTTTTACAAATTCTGCTAGAGTCACATTGACTTATTGTTTAACATGTTTCCTGTGTAATGGAATTAGTCTTTATAAGCACTTATAATATTTTAAGACGTTAAAAATTGATATTGAATTCTTCTTTTTATTTTTATTCCACAGATATTCCAAATGTCTTGGTTGGCACTGTATTTAACATTGATGATGGAAATGGGGGCTTTGTAGTTCACTGGTTAAACAACAAAGAATTTCATTTTACATCATCTATTGAAATATTTATGCAGCAATTAAGGAAACTTTCTGAAAAGCAGATAGATCATGAAAGTGATGAAGGAGATAGAGAAGATGAGGAACATTCACAGGAGGAAAGAGAGAGGGGTTTACATATGAAACTGGACCATGGTTAGTGTCCTGTGTTCAGATTTTTCTTTTTTCTGGTTGGCAACTTTTTGTGATACCACTTTTGGTTTGTAATCTTCCCTTCCTGCTTTCCTTCCTTTTCACTTTTCCATTGATTTCATAGGTGTTTACTTACCACTGCTATGGACCATCTGTGATTTAACTCTCTCTGCTTTGTTATATTGCTTTGAGTAATGTATTACTTTGGAAGCCTTTTTTTTTTTGGAAGGGGGTGGGTGGCCAAGTTTTGCTAATAATGATAATAATAATGATAGTGTGAATGAAATTTTTATTCATCTAAAATGAAGAAATATAGTAATTTTCAGTTCAGACCAGAAAGAAGTTTCCTTCCTTTTTTTTCCTGGCCATAAGTAGGAAAAGGAATTTATGATCTCTAAAGTTATATGCTATTTATGGATAGTCTAGTATGTAAAATAATTTTATAGTATTACTAGTATGTACTGATAAATTTATTTTCTGATTTAGAATTATCCCTGGATAGAGAATCTGAGGCAGGTACAGGATCATCAGAACACGAAGATGGAGAAAGAGAGGGAAGTCCTAGAACCTGTTCACGTCCTAGTGTGCCAATGCCTCTGCCTACAGTCCTGCTTGACCGGAAGATCGAAATGCTGCTAACAGAATGGAATAAGAACCCTGACATGCTTTTCACCATACACCCTGTGGATGGTACCTTCCTAGTGTGGCATGTAAAGTACTTGGATGAATATAATCCTGGAATATTTAGACAAGTCCAGGTATATTTTACTGAAGCAGTTTTTAACATTTCTTAAAAAAAAAGAGAGATGCTATTCAAATTTAGTAGGTTTTCAGAAATACTCAATGATTTTGTTTTTGATAAGCAACTGTGAAGAGAACAACTTAACTACCAATGAGGAGCAATGATCACAAATTTTATAAACTTGATTAATTCAAAGTAAAATGAATTTGACTTTGAAATGTGATACTGAATATTTGAATATACGTGTATTAGCTTTTTTCCTGGAAATTCATAATATTTTGAATAAATTTAAGAAACTACCCTAAAATGTGACTTGAGAATGAGTCCCCTTCTCCCCAGTTTTGTTAATTGAATCTAGCTATCTTTATGTGTTATCTTTCTGAACAATATTTATTTAGATCTGTGGTTGTAGTCATTTAGATGTTATCAGCAAGGCACTTGAAACATTATTTCTTCAATCTTCTCCTGGGCTAAGAATAGAGATATGATATTACATAAATAGAGGAAAGGGATTAGACCATAATGAGGTTGAAAAAGATATTTTTGGCTTGAGCGCTGAAGTTTGACATTTTGAAAATAGAAGTATTTTTGGAAGACTTTTGAGAGGAGGCAGACTACTTACACTGAATCATATAACTGTGTTTTTCAGGTTTCTTTTTCTTCTCGGATTCCTGTTGCATTTCCATCTGGTGACGCAAGCTCTCTTAGTAAAAATATCATGATGTATGCCTGTATAAATGCTACGAAAGAATCTCACCACACCCTGTTACACCAAGATACGATGCCTGTATGCAGTCCTCAGGGATCACAGCCACACTCTAGATCACACAGCACACATATGAACATTTTAGCTCCCACAGTGATGATGGTCTCGAAACACATAGATGGCTCTTTAAATCAGTGGGCAGTCACTTTTGCTGATAAGTCTGCCTTTACCACTGTTCTAACTGTTTCTCACAAATTTAGATACTGTGGTCATCGATTTCACCTTAATGACTTGGCATGTCACTCAGTTTTACCACTGTTATTGACATCATCGCATCATAATGCTCTGTTGACTCCTGAATCAGATTGTCAGTGGGAACCAGACAGTAAATTAAATAGGTTAATGGATCCTGGAAGACACATTAAAGTTTCCTCGAAACAGCCTCTTAGAAATGCAGCCACACGCACATTTCATGACCCGAATGCCATCTACAGTGAGCTCATCCTGTGGCGCGTGGACCCGATAGGACCTTTGTCATACACTGGAGGAGTATCAGAGTTGGCACGAATTAACTCTTTACATACTTCAGCCTTCTCTAATGTTGCTTGGCTTCCAACTCTTATTCCCAGTTACTGTCTAGGTAAGTACTCGTTTTAATAGTGAAATTTAATAGAAGCTTCAAAACTGTTACATATATACAAAATGCTGTCTGTTTGTCATTATTAGGAGGATTCTTAATAAGTATTCAGAACATAGGCACCAGACTGATTGATGTCTAGAGTTTCTAGAAATTTTTTTTTTAATCTTCCTTCTCATAACCTATTTTCTATTGAATTTTTTCTTAATAATTTTGTATCTATTGTATCTGTTTAGTTATGATTCTGAACCATGGTTATGCCTAAAAGGAGAAGTGTGACTGTTTTTTCTCATACTTCAGGCAGTGCTAATAATGAACTATATATCATAATACAAAGGGTTTGCTTCCTCAGGCACATACTGCAATTCTGCAAGCGCTTGCTTTGTTGCTTCTGATGGCAAAAATCTGAGACTCTACCAAGCTGTGGTAGATGCAAGGAAATTATTGGATGAACTGTCAGATCCAGAATCTTCAGTAAGTATTTGCTAATCTTTATTAATATACCTTAAGCTAATAAGGAATTCTCTTTTGACTTTGTTTAGGACTTTAATTTGTTAGTTGGTGTTTAGGGAATGAGCATCTGTCCTGGGCTCTGTATGACAAGTTTGTTCTTAATTTATGTTTCAAGGCACATGGATCAAAATTACAGTCTGTACATCACACATGCACACATTTTACATTTAAAAAAGAATTAAGATTTTTTTTCTGAAATATGATTTTTTTCTTGGCTTTTTTTATTCTCTAGTTTGGTTCTTTTTCTTTGTTCAAGAAAGGTTTTACGGCAGCTTTACCAAACTTTGTGTTTAGGTTGTAGAATTTGAAGTTTTCTGAACTTGATTCACTATTTTAAAAAATCCTATGGTTAGAATATGTTGTCAGTGGCTGGCATCATTCTCATTCTGGTAGTTCTATATTTGAACTGGAAGTCGTGTATATCATTTGGTACTCAGATTTGAATAGTGAATTTTCCATTATCTGTAAAAACATGCCTTTTCATAAAATAACTGTTCTAATAAAAATGCTTTCAATATTGAAAATCAGAGACTCGTTTTGAATGTCACATGCCCCTAGGTGTGTAGGGAATACAATGTTTGCTGCTAAGGAGATTTTAAGTTAGTTGAGGAAAGAAATTATTAATAAAAGTTTAAATAACACTTTGTCACAGAAGAGGTGTCTTAAGGTGGTGTGTAATTAATTGCCAAATATTATTTCATAATTCAGAGGAGAGAGAGATGAGATTAGAGTAGGCATAGACGTCTTTATTAAGGACAGTATTTGAGTTCATTTTTGATGGATGGGTAAGATTTAGAAAGACACATTCTTAGTCTTTGAGGAATGAGAGAATGGCCCGAAAGTATGGATACAGGAAAGTACATGTATAAATAAAGTTTGTTCCAGAAACAGTGATAAACCTAATTGGAGCAGAGCCACAGATGTGGCACAGTGAAAGTCTAGAAAAGTAGCGTCTTACAGCTATAGAGTTGGAAGATACTTTGAAGGCCACCGAGTCTAACGAGCTGTCTGACGCTTTGTTTCTCTCTGCTGTGTTCCTGCCAGTTTGTCATCTGGCCTCCAAGGAGGGAAACTCAACTCTAGATGCGGCCCATTCTGTCTTTGAATTACCCTTACTTAATTACATTGACATTAAATTTGTAATCCTTAAATTTCTGCTTGCTAGCCCTAGTTGTATGTAGACTAAGTCTAGTATTTCTTACACGTGAGATCATCTCAGGTATCTGAAGATACCTATCTTGTAACCCCCAAACTTTTTTGCTCAGGCCAAACCTGCTGGTTCTCTGTGCATACATTTATCTGTTTTATATTTGACCCTGGATACCCTTCCAAGCAGTTTTAAGTTTGCTTACACACTGGGCATTGTAGGATCACTAGAATGTAGCGGTGCTATGGCCTCTCTCAGTAGATAGTATTGTGCTTTGGTAGTCACATCACGTTCTTCTATATAATTGATTCATATTGGGCTGACTTTCAGTTCAATATCACTTTTTTTTTTCCAGTAAGCCATCGTGTATTTGTGGATTTGAGTTTGGGACCCAAATGTAGACTTATTTCTCTGTTACATTTCACCTTGCTAGGCTCCACTCACCAGTACATCCTTTCAGTATCTTTTTGAGTCCAGATTCTGTTATTTGTGTTATTGCTTTATGACTTATCTCATCAGCCTATTTGATGAATGTTGTTTCTACGTCTTCATCTAAGTCAATTATAAAAATGTTTGACTGGACTGAAAAAAGAGCGTAGCAGTATACATTTGAAATCCTTCTCCATTTTTATTGCCTGGAATATTTCTCCAGCTTATCCCAAGGATATGCATGAAGCAGCTTGTCGTGTACTTTGCTGAAATAAAAAACACCCTGTCTGCCAAATTGTCTGCAGTCAAAAAAGGAAACCAAATTTGTATGAGGTGATTGTTTTAATGTATAATAGGTTGAATGTATGTACCCTGATGTCTCTTGATGACTAAAATGTTGTACTAAACAGACATCAGGCTCTTTATTTTGGCTTACAGAAATATATTGTTTTCCTTTTTTGAAAATTGGAACATTTGCCTGCTTGTAGTCTTTTGGCTGTGGCAATCCCCATGATTGCTCAGAGCGTCCTGTGTGGTTCATTGATCTCACTGGCAAATTTTTCAATAACCTGGGGATTCTTTTTCCAGAAAATATAAATTCATTTAGAGCTATTAAACACATTCTTGGAATTTAAAAATTTATCTTGGTCTTTTGTTACCCCCTTACCAAATTTTTTTTTTCTTAAACTTTCCATTTTCATTTTTTTTCAAGTTAAAAAGTAATACTCATTGATGTGCCTCAGTTGTTGTGGTGCTTCTGTGTTGGGTGCATATATGTTTATAATTTTTATATCTTCTTGAATTGTTCCCTTGATCATTATGTAGTGTCCTTCTTTGTCTCTTGTAACAGTCTTTGTTTTAAAGTCTGTTTTGTCTGAAAGAAGTATTGCTACTCCAGTTTTCTTTTGATTTCCATTTGCATGGAATACCTTTTTCTATCCCCCAACTCTCACTTTCAGTGTGTCTGTATATCTGAAGTAAGTCTCTTGTAGGCAGCATATATACGGGTCCTGTTTTTGTATCCATTCAGCCAGACTATCTTTTGGTTAGAGCATTAAATTATTGAAATGTATGTTCTTATTGCCATTTTGTTAATTGTTTTAGATCTGTTTTGTAGGTCTTTTTTTTTTAACCTTTTCTTTTGTTCTCATGTGATTTGGTAACTTATCTTCAGTGCCATGTTTGGATTCCTTTTTCTCTTTTGTGTGTATATCTTTATATATTTTTGGTTGCAGTTACTGTGAGGTTTTGGTATAGCAGTCTGTCTCTTGCTCTATATATACATGATTGCTTTAAGTTGCTAATCTATTAATTTCAAATGCATTTTTAAATACCCTGCATTTATACTCTTCTCCCTTCACAATTACTGGTTTTGATTCTGTATCTTACATTTAATTATTTTGTATATCCTTAACTGCTCATTGTGTATACAGATGATTTTATTCCTTTTGGTTTTAACCTCTCTACTAGCTTTGTGTGTCGATGATTTTGTACCTTTACTGTGTGTTTGCCTTTACCAGTGAGCTTTTCCATTTCATAATTTTCTTGTTTCTAGTTGTGGCCTTTTCTTTTCCACCTAGAGAAGTTCCTTTAGCAAATTTGTTGTAAAGCTATTTGGGTGGTGCTGAATTCTTTTAGCTTTTGCTCATCTGTGAAGCTTTTGATTTCTCCATCTAATCTGAGTGAGAGCTTTGCTGGGTAGAGTATTCTTGGTTGTAAGTTTTTCTCTTGTATCACTTCAAGTATATCATGCCACTCCCTTCTAGCCTGCAGAGTTTTTGTTGAAAAATCAGCTGATAGCCTTATGAGAGTTCCCTTGTGTGTAATTTTTTGCTCTTTGTTGCTTTTAATAATCTTGGTTTATCTTTATTTTTGTCATTTTCATTACAGTGTGTCTTGATGTGTTCCTTTTTGAGTTCACCTTGTATGGAAATCTTCGCACTTCCTGGAGTTGGGTGCATGGTTTCTTTCCCACACTAGGGACGTTTTCAGCTACGACTTCTTCAAATATTTTCTTGGGCCCTTTCTCCCTCCCCTCTCCTGGGACCCCTATAATTCACATGTCAGTGCACTTGATGTTGTCTCGGAGACGTCTTAAACCATCCTCATTTCTTTTCATTCTTTTTTTTTTCTTTTTTTGTTCAGCGGCAGTGATTTCTCCTACTGTGTCTTCCAGCTCACTCATCTGTGCTTGTGCCTCATTTTGTCTGCTATTGATTCCTCCTAGTGCATTTTTCATTTCAGTTATTGTATTCTTTGATTCTGCTTCGTTGTTCTTCATATTTTCTAATTCTTTGTTAAAACTTTTAACTTCTCACCCTGGGCATCCATTCTTCTCCTGAGTTCTTTGATCATCTTTATGCTCATTACTGTGAACTCTTTCTTGGGTAGATTGTCTGTCTGCATGGGGCTTAGTTCTTCTTCTGGGGTTTTATCTTGTTCTTTTGCCTGAATGTATTCCTCTGTTGCTTCATTTTGTACCTATGTGGTAGGTACATTTCTCAACCTCTGTTTGAGATGCCCTCTGCATCCCAGCAGTGCACTTCCCTCTCCAGCTGGTCCCAGGGTAGTGTTTGCCTGGCCTGTTTTTGTGGACTCAGTCTGCAGGACTGTAGTTTTCCTGCTTCTGGTGTCTGTCCTCTGGTGATTGAGGCTGGTCTAGAGGCTTGTGCAGGCTTCCTGGCTGGAGGGGCCAGTGCTTGTCCATTGGTGGGTCGAGCTGGGTCTCAGCCTTCTGGTGGCCAGGGCTGTGTCTAGGGGCATGTCTAGAGGCAGCTCTGGGTTCAGGAAATTTTTAGGCAGCCTGTCTGCTGATGAGTGTTGCTGTGTCCCTGCCCAGTTTGTTATTTGGCCTGAGACGTCCCAGCACTGTGCCTATAGGCTGTTGGGTCAGCCTCCCAGAGATCTTACACAGATGAATGCTCAGTGATATGTCCGCCCCCAGTGTCTGTGTCACAGGGTGAGCCATAGCTGCCCCCTGCCTCCCCAGGAGGCCCTCTAAGACTAACAGGTAGGTCTGGTCCATCCTCTTGTCAAATGACTGCTTTTGCCCTTGGTCCTGGTGCATGTGAGATTTTATGTGTTCCTTTTAAGAGTGAAGTTTCTATTCAGCCACTTTAATGTTCTGAAAGAAAATTAACCATTAAAAAATGCATAAAAACATATCTGCATAGTTTTACTTTTGCCTCAGACTCCAATATGGCTCATCAAGACACTGTTGGAGGCCTGTATTTAAAATTCTGTTACTTTGTTCATTTTTTTTGCATTAATTTTTATTTATGTCAGTTATTGAGTTTACTCCCTTAAAATTGGAGGTGAAGTTGAGTGGGATCCTGTAGGGTTGAAGAAAGCGTTCGGTACGTTTGTTAGTTATAGTGCTGGCAGAAGGGTCGGGGCAGGGGAGGCAAATCCTTAACTGAAATAGGTATTTCTGTGACGGGATCTCAACCTTGCTGTGTAGTGGAAGCTCCTGAGGAACTTGTAAACTGCCTGATGATCAGATTGTACCTCAGACCAGTGTCTGCAAGTGGGGCCTAGGTCTCAGTAACGGTCAGCGCTCCCAGGTAGCTCAGTGTGCACCCGAGGCTGAGAGCCGCTGACCTACAGCCATACTTCTTAAACTTCAGCGTGCATATGGACCATCTGGAGATCTTGTTAAAATGCAGATGTGGTAGCTTTGGGGTCTGAAAGTCTGCATTTCTAAAAAGCTATTGGCTGCTGGTCCAGTGACCACACGTTAAGTAGCAAAGATTCATGGTGTGTTAGAGAAATTCCAGTCTTTTAACCTCATCAACTGTAGACCACAGTTGAGTCCAGATATCACTGGACAAATGCAGCAGACTGTTGGCATCACTTCTGAGCTAACATTTTAAATCTGGATTCTTGGGTGAATGTACCCATACCAATAAATTGACCCCTACCCAAGCATATATTTTGTCCTCCTGTCTTATACCCTAGAATCTATTCCCATGCATGCCCCCTAGAAATGTGCTGTGTGAGTTAGGAAGATCCTACAACTATGGTGTATATGCTGCTTTCCCATAGCCAGCTTTGTACGTACAGCCTAGGCTAAGCTGGGATCTTACTCCTGTTAGTGACCTACAGGCAGTAAGAAGTAGTGGAGGTGGTGCTGAGGAGAACCGGCATCTCCTTGTGAGGTCGCTGTTTCAGGGCAAGTTACTGAAAGGTTTTTATGCAAGAGAAGGCTGCTTGAAAGGAGGCAGAAGGAAGACGGCCTCTTTCAGCAGGAAGGTTTGAGGGTTTTGAGATCCATAGTTAGGATTACATCCTCACCCCAAAACACAGAGTCCCACTTCTTCTCAGCCATTGCCTTTACGTTTGATCTGGCAAGATTGTACTTTTAAATGGCATTGCAGATCTGCAAACCATACACACAGATGTTGGGCCAGGCCCTCAGCCAGATGTATCATGGAGCATTAAGGTTGCTAAATGAAGACTTACTAAAAGAACTAGATACTATGAAGTTATATACTTTACTTAAACACTATAGTTTTTCTGCTTAGTTAATTTTAAAAATGAGAATCCAAATGAGTATAGGAAGTTGAAGTATTTGCTTATATGAATTGCCTCAGTCAATCAGTGAACATTTAGAAGGGTCTTTAATGTTCAAGATGCTGTGTCATATTGACTGTAGATTCATATATTGTTGATTATTAACATTTTGGTTTTTTTTTTATTTACAGAAACTTATTGGAGAAGTATTTAATATTGTGAGCCAACAGTCTACTGCTCGACCTGGCTGCATTATTGAACTTGATGCAATAACCAACCAAGTAAAAGCATGCTTGTGAATTGGTGATATTAGTGTACATT